TATTAGTGGAAATGCGATTCCCAGGTTGTAAGTTAGAAGATGGGAGAGAGTTCAGCGGTCGAAAAAGCAAACATGCTTGGCAATCAAGTCAGTGCTTGAGCCTGATCGGGACGTCCTGGAAACATTTTTGATCATGCCTATCTAGCATCGAGGACTAGAGACTAACTTATATGGCATGCGCATATCATTCGCCAGCGTTGCAGATGCTCGGGTGTCTTATGTAAGCGCTGTCACTTCGGTCCAAGGTGGCATTCAGGAGAAGGGGGAGCGTCCACCGGGAGAGAATGCAAATATTCTTAAGTCCCAAGCTTCAACCGGACGTAAGAGATGCATTTATGAACGGATTTGTCCCGCAATTAGTACTAAAAACTAACTTAATGAGAATGCGTACTAAACTCTCCAATGTAACTGCTGCTGTTATGCTAACGCTGCGATATCCATGCAAAAGTTATTTCAGTCTCCCTCAAAATCGGCGGATTCATCACTTTAAAATAAAACGCATTGAATCTGATGAAGCAGATTAATACTTTGCGCTGATTTAGGGACCATAATTCGGCTGGGCAAATTCATCAGGTCCACAATGCGGAACATATATGATGTCTAATTGCTGTTTATTTCACCTTCAGTTGGGGCTACGATTGTAGCCCCGATGAGTCAGCAATATGAGCCACAAACAAATGAAAAGGTGCAGGCACTTGCCTTCAGCGATGTACAGCGATCGATATGGATGTGAGAGATAGAAGGCTACACGAGAATACGTACTTTTTATTTCACAGGAACGGTAGGACTTTAAACAAGCACAATTTTTGGGCCATTACAAGGCAAAGCAAGAAGCCTAGTACAGAGATAAAATGGAAGCAGTTACCATAAGAAGGGATACCCAAGTGTGAAGCACTCGCACGTGCGTACTTTCGGTCAAATGTAATGTACATTTCTATGTGTGAGTTAGGAGGGCAGAACTGCATGGTTTTGATCTTCGTTTAGTAAAGGCACAGTCGAGGTGGAAACCGGAGGGGATATAAGCTATGTAACCAATCGTGTCAGAGGCCTAAACTGCAAGCGGTCTGATCATGAAGCTGTTTCGACTCTAGTCCGTATCAAAGCATTTCAAGACACGTTACTAATTGTTTTCGACTAATTCAGCGGCCAAATGCACCGAAAAAGCAGACATTTCAGACCACAAAACACCAAGAAATCATCTCCATATACGCCTGTCAACCACCCACGGAAAGGGACTTACCGGCAAAATAACCTCATCAGCATAGCGCAGACCAGCAGTACATGGAAAACTATATTATGGTATGCCAGTGTGTGTTAAGAGTTTAGTATATTCCACGTTTTAAAAGGTTGACTACAAAGCATGCATGATGACCACTGGAGAGGTGTCATGCCTAAATACAGACGTTAACTTCGGGGCTTTGTTGTAAGATAGTCGAAACGAGAAACGTGGGTTGTTTTTTGATAGCGTGCCATAAATGCATCTTGATCAAACCGCAGAGAAATAAGCAAAACAAGCGCGTACGGACAGTTAACAAAGGTGGCTCTTTTAGATCGATGCATTCTTCACCTACCGGAAGATGTGGCACGACATGGTCCACTTGATAGCTT